ATAGTTTACTAAGAGAATCTGGATGAATTTAATTGGAGTTTCAGATCAGAATGAAACATTCATCTTTCAAGTGATATTAAACTGTAACAAATGTCACCATTACATTTTATAATCATACTATTGTATAAGTGATATCAATAATTCATTTTTAAAAAAATATGATAAAAGGATAGTAAATTAGAACAACACATGTAAAATACAACGCAAAGAATTCCAATATATTTTAGGATATCTATTAGATTGTATACTATTTATAGCAAATCCTAAACTCATTTTCGCTTCTATGAGTCATGTATTAAACTTCAGGAACTTATTGAATGCCTTAAATGCAACAGGGTCCCCATGCAATTTTAAAATGTTAAAGATTCCCATTGTGAAAATTAGAACAAGACATGTGTTACATAATAAGTAATGAATTAAATATAATTTAAAATGATAAATTTATCAGTTTTACAATTATTTCTATGATGTTGTAAAGGTCATTTGAAAAAAACAAACAAAACAAAGCCAATACAACATTGATATTATAATGACTAAATGAATAATTCATTGAATTGTATAGTTTCATATGTCCATTTAATGAGAATTTGTTGTAATACATAGAATTACTAATTATTGTAAGTTAACTTAAGGTCAATCAATAATAAAACTGATAATCTCATAATCAAATATTATTTTGTATAAGATTTAATATCATAGTATTACTTTACTAGGCTTATATTTTAGATCAAGTATACTATTGACTATTATTTAATGAAATAATCATTAGTGTTTTCAGTAACCTTTAACATGAATAATATTGTACTAATTTGAAAACAAATGCAGTATAAACAGATTATATCTACTGTTAGATAACACTGAAATCCTTTCATCTCATATCAGTCAATTGAATGAAGTTAAATCCTTATTGATGTATTCAATGATAATCGAATAAAGTACATGTTCATGTTAACACAAGATCAATATTTATTATTTCAATGAAGTACAACAACCATATGTAGTCCATTGAATGTTATTTGTTAATAAGATTTAAGTCTCTCATATTGTTGATTTTCATCGTCAAGATTCCCTACTGATCAATAAACAGTGGTTATCCTTAAAATGTTAAGTAAACTGATTTACTTATTTCGTTAATCCGTTTAGTGAAAAACATTTTTTTTGTTTTTGATGAAAGTTACAGTAACCAATACGTTGCGTCAGAAATCAAATTAAAATGAGGTGGAAATAATGAAAATGCTAAGACTTTTTAAATGATTATTGGGATTACATAGTGTTTTAACTCGGATTCCATAGAAATGTTGTACATCAAATTAAATGCCTATTTCAATCGTTTCCATTCATTTTCAGATTTTCTAATGACTATTGTCGAACCTTGACTTGCAACCGAATATTTGGCTCCCAACCAATTTGTAAGCAGAAAAGAATGGAGTTTGTAAAGCGATTACAAATGAACAACAAACATATCACTATAATGAACCTACTAGGCTAACACACAGGTTTTCACACGAAACTCAATACTCAGAAGTTCCAGACTACAACTTCAGATTATTCTAACAACTAACATTAATAAGATCATACACTGCAACTAAATATTTCACCAACTTAATGGGAGCTACTGTGATAAGTCGAATTACATGAATTATTGATCATCAGTCAACACTCCTTTAAATGCCAGTAATTTGTACAGAGAAATTGAATTCAGGTGTTGCCTCAATACCGCTGTAAAACGTGAAGTTGACTAAAATACGTTGTGTAGAGACGGATGGTGACTAGCAGTGGAGTTCACGACGCCCATTTTGTCTTGTTTAGGACTCATCAGTTGGGTGTACCTGCATCCCAGAACTCGGACCCAGTATCATTCACCTCAGAAATAATCGCGTCATTCACTTAGCTGGATTTCACTGCTAGTCACTATCCATCTTATCTTAAAAATCTTTATGACTAATTGGTGATATTGGGGCTACCCGTTCAGAATGTACATATGCCAAAAGAGACTAATCAATTTCAGTCGTAAACATAAATAGGAAGATCCAAGCAATATATATATATATATATATATATATATATATATATATATATATATATATATATATATATATAAAGTTATTCCACCTACATCTATAGAGAAAAATAATGTGAATTTGCGTACATCAAACTTCTAAAGAGATTTATTTAAAAAGGTTAATATACAAAAAATATTGCTGTAAAATCACCTTGCATTGAATTTTGTACTGAAATGTTATAACTCGCCAAAAAATCAGATACAAAGAAAATCGAACATTTTTTTTGGAAGGAACATACATAAATTGCACGGTTAAAATCTGAAAATTAAATGTGCACGACTCCAAATAACGTGGGCGGATGAAATTAAGACGGTCGAAGAAACATGTTAGTCATTCTTAGCTAAAATGTTTTTTTTCTTTTTAACTGCATTTTAATACATTAATTGTTATTACTTTTCATAATCTAGTATCTAAGATTCATATTTCAGACTTGATTCTGACACAAATAAACGTATAGTTGAATAAATACTTGTTTGATCATAGGTGTATTTGTATTAGGTATACTGCATAATTTACACTAGTGAAAACTATTCATTTTCTAAAACACAGATGTATATTGAGGTTTTTTGTAAGAGTGAACTATCTTTGTTTTAATCAGCTATAAATAAACTGTTTTGATTTTACAAAATTAAATTGGATTTCTGGATTATTGGTTTTAACAACTAAAATATCACAATTGAATATTGAATATAAGATCAAGAGATTTGTTCACAAATCTACATAGAAATTTGGATGCACCTAACTATAAACAGATATACATAACTTTAACCATTTTCTTTTTACATACTAGTTAGTTTGTGTAAATGAACGACTTCATGAATAGTTTCATTGTCTATAACTCAGTCACACTATTCATCCATAGATCAAGTTGATAGATGATAGTTCATAAGAAATAACGATAATCAACACCGTGAAATTCATTGCTAAACAAATCAGTATTCCATCATCTTCACTTTTCCCTTTTTTTTAAAAATACACAGAGATCTGTATGAACTAATGTCGGACAAAAACTTAAAATACTGGTATATGTAATCAATCCAGTTATATAAATACTTGACCATCCTGATGGGGAACTTAGACTCCAAATTTAGGATGAACGCCGAGTATGAACATATCATTCCACGACATGGACTGGGACAGGGGTTAGATAGCACAATTTTCTCCTATAAATCCATACACAAATCCATATGCAGTTCACTGGACCACATCACACAATATGAGATTAATTACATCTGCATCAATCAAAAATTCACAAGGTTCATGGATGAAGTTAGAACAAAGAGAGGAACTGATATAGATTCAGATCACCGCATACTGGTGATCAAGCTAAAACTGAATCTAAACAACCGTCGGACGATTGAACAAGCTACACTTTAACAGTCTAATGCAGCATTACCTCGAGATCATAACAAACTCAACCAATTCAACGTTGCCATTAAAAATAATTTTCAAGCCTTACAAGATCTACTCAGAAAGAAGAAACCACTATGGGGAAAACTAGAAGAGGAATAGTGAAATAATAACTTCAATGTGTCAGGAGGTGCTGGACCACAACAAAAACCAGCATAAACAATGGATCTTTATAGAAAATCTGAATATGATTCAAGAAAGGAAATATAAGAACAGAGAAGTCAGCAACAGCCTAACTGAAGTAGATAAAGTCAGGGTACAGGTTGAATATACAGAGGAAAGCAAACAAATGAAACATAACATTACAGACGAAAGACGGAAATATGTGGAAAATCTAGTAATGACAACGGAAAAATCTGCAAGAGAAGGAAATATCAGTCAAAAATATGATATAACTAAGAAGTTATTAGGGAATATAATAAACCAAAATGACCAGTAAAGAACATAGAAGGCAACCCAAACACTGAAGGTCCAGAGCACCAGGACAGATGAGTGGAATACTGTGAACAGCTTTTTTATAGATCAGTTACACTTAACCCAGTCGACATCGAACCAAAACACATAGACCTCATTATAGATGTTACCCCACCAACGGTGGAAGAAATTAGCGAGATCACCAGAAAAATCAAGAGTGGCAAAGCAGCAGCAACAGAAAGTACGTCAGCCAAAGCACTGAAGTTGGATACAAACGTAACTGAGAAGATGCTTCACTTCCTCTCCAGAAAGATTTGGGAAGAAGTATAAATACTGACAGGTTGGAAAAAACTTTTTCCTTATGCCTGTTATCCCCTTAGGAGGAGCATGGGCCGTCCACAAGCACTCTCCATCCAACCGTGTCTTGGGCAATCCTTTCCAGTTGTTATTTATCCTTTTCATATCTGCTTCCAATTCCCGAACTAATGTCTTCTTCGACCTTCTGCCTTTCCGTTTCCCTTCACGATTCCAAGTTAGTGTTTGCCTCGTGATGAAGTTCGGTGATTACCGTAATGTATGCCCTGTCCACTTCCAACGTCTTTTCCTAATTTCCTCTTCAGTTGGAAGTTCCTCTGTTCTCTCCCACAGTAGGTTTTGTTGATGGTATTCGGCCAACGGATATTGAACATCTTGTGTAAAAAACTGTTTATAAATACTTGTATCTTTTTCATGATCGTTGTAATAGTTCTACGCGTTTCAGCTCCGTACAGTACAACTGTCTTGATGTTCGTGTTGAATATTGTGACTTTGATATTGGTTGACAGTTACCTTGAGTTCCAAATGTTCTTCAACTGTAGGAATGTTGTCCTTGCTTGCCAATCCTCACCTTTACGCCTGCATCCGATCCCCTTTGTTCATCGATGATGCTTACCAGGTACTTGAAAAATTCCACATCTTCCACAGTTTCTCCAGATCAAGTGTGATTGGGTCGGAGTTCTCAGTGTTTTATTTGAGGATCTTGCTTTTTCTTTTGTCCATGTTGAGGCCCAGTAATGAAGAGGCTTCTGCTACACTAGTCTTTATCTGTATTTATTCGTGTGTATGAGGTAGAAGGGCCAGGTCATCTGCGAAGTCCAAATCTTCTAATTGATTCCGAGCTTTTCATTGTATTTCATATTTTCCCTCAGATGTTGACCACTAGAAAAAAGAGAAAGGAAGAAAGTGAGCCACCTTGTCTGACTCTGGTTCTTACTTGGAGTGCTTCTGTCTTTCATGTACGACCTTGCAGTATAGTCCGTCGTATGGAATTCCGGATAATGTTGACGATTTTCTCAGATACACTATAGTGTCGAAGAAGTTTCCATAAATTTCTCCTATCCACTGTGTCAAACGCTTTCTCATCGTCAATTAGGTTGATGTACGGTGACGAGTTCAGCTGAACTGATTGTTCAACAATGATCCGAAGCGTCACAATTTGGCCTGTGCACGACTGATCCTTACGGAATCCAGGCTGTTGATCTCGAAGTTGGGCGTCTACTGAGTCTTTCAAGAGAATGGAATATGAGACAGATACATGACACAACGAAGAAACTAGCATGGAAACATAGTAAACCAGAGAGACCGTCCAAGGACAAGGAAGGTAAGACAATCACCGAGATTCAAGAACAGATGGGTAGAAAAATTCGAGAATCTCTTGAATAGACGAGCTCTATTGAATCCACCAGACATCGAAGCAGCAACTACAGACCTCCCTATAGCTGTCACTGTACCAACGACGGAAGAAATCAGGATGGCCATCAGACAAAAGCAAGGGCAGCATTCCTAGATTTGAAGAACATCGGGATCTCAAGACGAATGTCCGCTAGGACCAAAGTCAGAACCTTCAATACAAATGTCGAAACAGTTTCATCGTACGTAACCAAAATTTGGAGAACTACTACAACCATCATCGATGAGGTATAGGTATTTATAAACAATTGTTCATGCATAACACTCCATATCCGTTGTCCGGATACTGTCAAAAAAGACCTACTGTGTCGCAGAGCAAACCAACTTCCACCCAAAGAGGAAATTAGTAAAAGACTGGAGGTGGATAGGTTCTACCTTACGGAAATCATCAAACTACACAGCGAAACAAGCTCTAGCTTGTAATCGATAAAGCAGCTGGAGAAAAATGCAAACCGAAAAACAAATTGCACCGGGAGTTGGAGCCAGATATCAAAAAGGTAAATACAACTTGACAACAACTAGAAAGGGAAGCCGAGGACAGATTTGGCTGGAGATTCCCCTATGCTCTACAGCTGGGGGAGTGGCAGCGAATAATAGACCTAAGTAAATAAACGAACAAACTAATCTTCCCTTCCTATACATTCATTTCTCGAGCTTCATAATACCCCCAACATACAAAAAATTTAAGTTAAACAAAAATATGTTTATATGTAACATTAAATTTTTATAAAATTCAATCATTTTAATTTCATAAATATAATTACATTTCAATTAATGAATTGTATTGTATATTTTAAGATCATTTTTTCTAGAAAAAAAATCACTTCAATTGTGAAATATCACACTTTCTTTCTTTCTTACTTTTTTCGACAATCTTTCCTCATTATTTGCTTTCTTTTTTTTAAAAAATAAAAGAAAAATAATCATCTTACATTGTTAAAATGAAACACCCAATTAATTCAAATCAAATAATCTTATGGTATTAATTAATTAAACAAATTTCATATCATCCTAATAAATAATTCAACCTTATATAATCTAATTAGAAATATAATAATAAGAACTTATATATTTCTAATATTCAAATTCAATGATTCAGTTGTTTTTTTTATTTGGAAAAAATCATTTTGTTTTAGTATAATTAGTAATTTGGAAATGTTATTTACTTAGGTCATCAATGTACAATTCAAGTTCAAATGTAAATGAGACAGTTTATCTGTTCTAATTATCATTCATTTAAACTTTTAATAGTTTTTCATAAATAATTTATGAAAACATATGATTATAAAAGCTTACTGATAAATAAATTTGTATGTTTATATGTATTAGTCGTTTGAGTTTTTCATTGATATTAATTACAACCATTGTTCGGTATCTTTTGACATACGTGTCTCTTGTACAGGTTCCCATAATATTACCGTTAAGATACAAGGATTTGAAGCAGAGATAAATGGTGACTAGAAATAGAATCTAGGATACGCGTTTCAACGTATTTGAGATAAGCTAGCTTAATGTATCTGTATCCCATGGCTGACGTCTACGCTGAGACTCTAATCCAGAACCGTTCTCTTCAGACATTACCTTGACTATTTTGTATGTTGTAATATCAGGTGCTTGGAAGTAGTCTGCAGGATACAGTGTGCCTACGTTTCATACTCGCTGGAACTCATCGACAATGATGTTCTCTGTAGGACTCAAGCCCACGTCACCCAAATACATAGTCATGGACGTCATTATTCGGTTTTTTAGACTAGTGACAACACCGAGACTTGATTTGTAGAATCCGATCAATACTAAAGGGGTAGATATTGGTCACCATTCATATAAAAAGCCTTCACTTTTTGAACTAAAAATATGACACAGTTTCATTGTAGTGATACCTCTAGTAATACTGTAGTTAACGAGAACACAAGTGGGGACAACCAAATACATTTCAGCACAAAATTACGGAATTTTTTAGACAAACCTGAGAACCATGCAGTGAATACTTCATTTGCAAAATGTCGATCAATTGTCTCAGACTTGATTGTCCCTTCGATTCCACACAAATCACTCTCTGTTCTCGTTCTCTTCTATTCGATCTTCTTGACCTTCTGACACCATGCTTTCCACTTGCGATTGGTAATACATATTACTTGTGTCTGTCGATAGCACACACTACAATACTAGCTGTGACAAATTTTTATAGCAAATGTCACAAGTCATCTGATATTTTCTAGTTCTTCCAGTTGTTTCCAACGTTCATTGTGTGACTAATCATTCATCGTCAGGTAAAATATGACTGGTGATTACCACTTGCACAGCTTCCTATTATCATTTATAAAACTTTATTTTGTTGACAAACATTTGCTAAAAATGTACAGTACGATAAAGTAACAGATGTCAATGAGAACTCTGATGTTAAACCGATTACACCAGGTAATTTGAGTTCTGCTTCATGATCGTTCTTTTGGGTTGTGAACTTTTACATTATAAAGCTAGTCCCACAATGTATGTATTCATTATTTTATCCTAGTTTAGATAGTTATTTGTATGTAAGATATTATTGAATGTTTTGGTTACTAAGGGGCTCAAAATACCAGCATTTATTTTAAAAGAACTAAACATTAATACCTAAACTGGGACATTAATCACTCTGAACACTGTAGATTGACATAAACCATAAGATCCGAACGAGTTCCAGCAACTACTAGTCATTTGACTGTCGAAGTGAAATACACTCAGAGTCGAATTCCATACCTGACTCATTGATGTTTTAGGGACCTTTATGCATACCTTCCAATCCAACCTTCATAAACCATATTCCCAAAACTATTGCTACTAAATTGTCTTAGTGACGTTCTCCTAACCAATTATGGTAACTTGGACCAACCCACGTGTCAGGTTCTATCTTCGTAACTGTCTAAACAGTTTACGCTCAAACGTGAACCGTCATTCCTTTTTACAGTGTACTTAAACAATAGTAACAAATTACCTTAATAGTCAACTTGCTGATTTGGGAAATATCCAAGTAATTTTGCGCCCCCAAATGCCCTGGTACGGCCGAGAGTGGGGAGAGTCCGCTCTCCCTCTCGAAATGCTCTCACATGGCCACGCGTACATAGCCTCTGCCAGGGAAGTCCTACTCACTGCCTTCTCGTGGCGGGGATGTTGTTTACAAAAATGAGAGGACGAAAAGCGAATGTCCGGCGCTTTAACCGGATCCCAAACCAATGGTGCACATGGGCTCCAGTATCCTGAAGGAGCAAATGGCGTATGAACCAATCGTTGGTCACCTGCTTCCATGGGACTGCATCTCCTCACGATGCCCCACTGCCTTGTGGATCAGACGTTCAGGTCAAAGGCTCGGGTGTGGCCCCCTAAGAAAACCACCTGCTTCGGCTTGGGCACCCGGGCAGTATCACAGCCCTCACACAAATCAATTGAGATTCGTGTGGCGCATATGTATTTGGTGCCTCCTTGTACCAATACCTATGTGTTAATATAAATTATAATAAATAAATACAAGTAGTTTTGCTGACAAACATTAAGCTTGAAACAATAAAGAACCTACACTTCTATCAAGCGGTCTAGATGTCTCTAGTATCCTTGCAGCAATGCACACGTATTATTTGTAGGATTGAGTTTTCGGAGACCAATGTGGCAGATATCATTATTAAAATTCCATATAAACATCGCTAACATGGATTTACACAGTTATCCACTACCACTGAAATTAATTCAAGTCTTTAGCTTCTCATCCTCTCCGCGTGGGTGACAAATGCCAAGTTCGCAGACTGATCTGATAGGTGATCGACTTGAAATCAATCAAATACAGTGAATTGAATGTGATACATACCACTAGTGTATGAGGGGCACCATTATTTTATTTGAACACATAAATATTGATGCAAGCGGGGCACCAAATAAAATGAACATATTTACTGAAAATACTAGTGTATGAGACAAGCCTAAGCTGTGAATTTATTGTCAACTAAATGGATAAACAACACAGCTTAGTTTCCTAAATTAGTCGCAAAAAGATTTGAGCAATTTAACTTAATGAGGTAAAATTTGAAGATGTAAAGCAACACTATTTATCATCAAACATAACCTCTCGATTTATTTTCCATCGAGATATAGGAACTGAGAATTTTATTTATTTTAACACATAAGTATAGGTACAGGGAGGCACCAAATACATATGCGCCACACGAATCTCAATTGATTTGTGTGAGGGCTGTGATACTGCCCGGGTGCCCAAACCGAAGCAGGTGGTTTTCTTAGGGGGCCACACCCCGAGCCTTCGACCTGAACGTCTGACCCACAAGGCAGTGGAGCATCGTGAGGAGATGCAGTCCCATGGTAGCCGGTGACCAACGATTGGTTCATACGCCATTTGTTCCTTCAGGATACTGGAGCCCATGTGCACCATTGATTTGGGGTCCGGTTAAAGCGCCGGACATTCGCTTTTCGTCCTCTCATTTTTGTAAACAACACCCCCGCCACGAGAAGGCAGTGAGTAGGACTTCCCTGGCAGAGGCTATATACGCATGGCCATGTGAGAGCATTTCGAGAGGGAGAGCGGACTCTCCCCACTTTCGGCCGTACCAGGGCATTTGGGGGCAGGAACTGAGAATACGTATTTCAGATGTGACATTTATGTTAGTCGGGAATATAAGGGGCATTATACTGGTGATTTTCGGTTCAGTGACCAGTTATAATTTGGCTCAGATGTGTATCACAAAACTGTGGAGTGTAGGTTACACGTATCAATAGAATTGTTGGGTTAATAATTAGTAATCAACGTAAGACTTGGCACAAATGAGCATGAAGCCAAGATGCTAGGGCGTGTCAGCACAGGAAGTGATAAGTCAGTCACAAAATAGAAGCTAGTACACAAGTACATCACCTTAAGTTGCCATACCTAATTTGGACAAGGATGATTGTCAAGTTAAATCCTACAATAGTAGTAACAGTATCAGTTGTAATAATATTGGGCATTGAAGATACAGTTCGAAAAAATAAGAACAATAGTTGTGAAGAATCCGGGGTAAGACAAAGGACGGATGTACATGCACCATTGCCGACGTTTTTGAGCCAAGCCACCGAAAATCTTTAACCATTGATTTCAATAATCACACGGACGAAATAGTCTATACCTATTAACATGACTCAGTCCGATTGTCAGTGACTTCATGAAATGATGCTACGTTTTGCTTTAGCCGCCCTAAGCTTTTTTTGCAACCTACTTCTATACCAGAAAATATCGTCCGTCGAGGGAGGTGGATATATCAGGTGATGAAGACTTACTACCTCATCAATCGACTTGTCATTTGTACCTATTACCCTATCCTCAACAGACACTGGTTGCTCGATAGCCCCAAAACACGAGCAATGCCTCGAAGATGCCCATGATCGAAGACAAGTAAACTACGGATATCATGCTTCAAATCCATAAAGTAGAACAAAGCGAGTTGCTGTATAGTAAGCCCGCATTGTGGTTGGAAAACGGATAACTCACCTAGGCTGCAAGTGAAGCCAATTGGTAAAAGCCAGTCGAGTTTTTTGAATATGTACCGAGATTTAGTCAAACTCCAATCTATCAGGACTGATGACGCTGCCAATATAAGTGCAGTCGATAACTTCATCTTTGTTCCCCATAATTAATTCAGGGACTGATCTTGAAGTAACACTTTGAATCTAAAGAGGGGAACCGCATCCCAAGCAAGTTTGCATTGTTGCTTAAAGTCAGAAAACTCTGCATTTTTCCACCAAAAAGAACTATAATATCTGTGTATTCTAAGTCAACAAGTGAAGATTAATCCTTGAAGTCAGATGATGCGTGTTATCTTTAAAAGTGTGTTTATGACGAATATAAATAAAAGTAGGAAAAGCGGACAGGCCTGATGAAATATTCCGATGACAGCTTGCAATAAGCTGACTCAACCAGCAGTGTTTGAGTAGAAAGCATTACAAGGTTGATGTACTTCTTCAATATACCCTTTAACGACAAACGATGTAACAGATTCTCTCAATCACTGGAGTTGGATGGTACCTTGAGTTCAAGGAATGCAACTGTAGTAGGACGTTAAAAAGCATGTCTACTTCCCATGAAACCAAAATACTAGTCTATGTGATTCGTCTGTGGTTGTCAAAAGAGCATGTCATGGCAATAAAAGTGGACCAATACCTCTTAAAAGTATCTAGGACAATCAACCCTCCTCCGTGCACAACTATTTGTTTTTGGATTTCAAACGTAACTTCCAGGTCTACCTAGTTTTCTTATAAATGCTAACTACTTTTTTCAGATGCACTAGATTTACGAGTCGGTGAAGAACAGGACCGTTTTTTTTGTCCTTATCAGATAGATTGAATTACACTGTTAGATTTCTAAAATGCAATGTTTCTGGCATTTCTTAGGTCTATCCGTCTTTAGATTTATTATGTACTCGCTCCTCATTTCAACTTCATGGTTTCGTCCAAAAAACCTTTGCTATGTTCACCTGAAACAAAATAAGTTTAAAAAGCCCTAGTAGGACCCGAAACAAGTATTAGAAAAACAGCAGAAAAGTTAGACAAATTGTTCTATATTGAATAACCTCTGCACAATTTTAGCAGAATACAAATACTGACCAGCTGGAAGAATTAAATGAAGCTTTTTTTCTTACAGATATCCACAGAGTAAAAAGAAGCAAACAGTATTACTAAGGTGAGAAAGTGGATAGAAAGTCAATGATCACTTTTTGTCACCCTTAGGAGAAGCAGCAGTATCCTTTTCGCCTAAAGAAAAAGATTACACAAGGAAGAATGCTTACCTTCACTATTTGAGGTCCAAAGTGTAAGATTATCCCTTAATAGTTGCATAATAATTGTTGAATCTTTGTAGCTTTCTTCCGATAAAGTATCTAGTTCAGCGATAGCCGAATCAAACGCTACTCTTGCACACTTGCACGCTTGTTCAGAGTTATTAAGAATCTCATAATAAAACACTGAAAAGTTTAGAGCAAGACCTAGTCGAATAGGATGAGTAACAGGAAGTTTTTCAGCATCTTCTGCCGCTTTTTTATATGCACAGAGACTGTTTTCGGCTGCATCTTTTCTTTGATTCCCAACAGAAAACTCAGCTCTATAGCGATGATAATCGCCTCTCCTAAACAAAAAATGCACTGAAACTAAAACAATACTAACATTTTATTTAAGAAGACTTTTGATTCGTCTGAAACAGCTTTCGGTAACAGGCAATTATCCAGAAGGTTCAAAATACTCGTGCATATTTCGTCTAACTCTTTCTCCACTTCTTTCCGGAATCTCTTGGTTATATGTATTTCGTCTGATCCCTTAGCTTCATCCTGGCTCTCCTTTGAATTTATTATTCTCCACGATGATCGGCGGGCACCAATGACGTTTTTGTATGCAACAGATAGAAGGTTTCGTTCTTCGACTGTCAGCTCAGTTTCAGTATTCGTAGCTATTTCAATCATAGCTTTAACCATTTCTAAAAAGGGTTATCGCGATTAGTATAGTGATTAATAGTCCAATTAAGCCGTGACACAAAATCCATTATTCAGATGTCATTCATGGATTGATAATATCCTTGTGTTTGATGCAAAATGTAACCAAGATCTTTAGATAAATGTACACAGGTTTCTAGAAGCCACTTGAATAGTTATTGTTGCGAAACTAAAAAACGCAGGCTTATCAAGGCACTAAAGACTAAGTCGTACAATAATGACATTGCGTTCAAGTTCACGTGACAAAAAAGCAACACAATCGAATACACTGGGATCAAAACCAATGATGTGGGGGTTCAATGAACTCAAGATCTGAACAAATTACAATGCCATCTCTCCAATAGTTAGGAATTTCGATTCCGGTTAAGAAATTTCATAGTAACCGTTAGGCTATGGTGAAGTTATCTTGTGAATGTCCATTTACTAACTAGGACTAAATGAGGGTTATAAACCAATGACAGTTGAGGCGAGGAATCAAACTTAAAGTTTTCATCACGAACTGACATTAGCTAAAATACCGAGACGCTATTTAGCCAAATGAGTGAGTGAATTTCGTGTGAAAATCTAGAACCTTTTGTCTTACACCCGGCTGGTACGTTCATAAATTAGTCTCGCCAGAAACTACTGACTGACTGACTTTGAGACCAGAAATCAAAGGAACATTACATACTACGTGGTAGATGTCTTATTAGACCGATTTGTGACTGGGAGCCAACATATACTAATCGGACCAAAAGCGTCTGACGAGATTCTGAGGTAAAATACTCAACCGAACACCTCGTCCAACACATCGACAGCAGAAATGATTAAACCTAAGGATATAATAAAAACAAAATTCGTGTCGATAAAAGAGAACACAAGCTAAACATTCTTTGGGGTTTGGATGGGATTTATTCGCGCTTTTGTTATCCATTCTAGACTTTCGTTTGGTTCTCAATCTGCAATTTTTAATCTAGAGAACCGAGAACATGTTGAAATTCCTTTATATGATTAACATTAATTTTAACTTTATGGACTAGCAACTCGTATAAGTTTGACAGCAAATACAAATAGTTATTGTAGATTGACTTTGGGTTATTAGGCAATTGCGAAACGTAGGTTAATCAACATTAGTTCATCTCTTCCTTATTATTTAAAGAATTTGGCAGCTGACTAGAACACAACTCATTAGGCAGTTTTATCACTAGCAAAAGCATATATAGCCGAACACATGCACAATGTGTGTTCCCTTTAATACTATACATTTTTCGGATTACTAGGGCAGGTAAACATTTGAGGAGACAAAGTGAACGTCCACCTAAAGAAGTGAAATCGGCCAACCAAAATATGCTGACTAAACGAAGTATACAGGCTGGGACCAGAAGTGATATAATATAGAGAACTTTATCATGGGAATGGTTAATGCCAGTCATTAAAGTTTACTCATACATAAAGATGGCATTTGCAAGTAAATTAACACACGTACTTCTATCTACATTTATACCTAGTGTTTGTAGATACATAAAACAAAACATTGAGGGAGCTTTTGACTCACCATCATATCGTTCAGCTTGTTCACATAATTTTGCGAGAGTAATGTTCCTCTCCCTTAACTCATCCATGGCCAGAACTAAGAGGTTGAACGGATGCACGTGTTAAGGACACAGATTAACTGTAACAAACAACAATGAGGAAAAAGCGAAGAGTATAGTTTTAATTACTTCATGGACGTAACTTACCCGGCTGTCAAAAAATAAAGATAAGGTATACACAAAATCTTAATTGATCTAACACATGGTTGTTCAGACAGTCGCTTAGCATCCGAGCGCGCTTTACGAAAAGAATGTTTACTTCCGACGTGATTTGCGTTTGTCAAACTTTTGTTGTGTCTTTACACAAAATGGTGTCGTTTTTCATCTAAAGAACCTGTCCTGAGCTCAACATTCAGTAGACTACTTTTCTTTTCGAGTTTTACACGGTTTATTAGTTAACATAGTTTTCAACGTCGAGGTTTGTTCTAATATGTCCAAGCCTTTTGTACCACCGATTTTGGCCGTTTTCAGTGTATCGTTTCATTTTGCTTTACGGCCGTAAACTTTTGCCAGGATCATATTTCACTATGGTCATGAAAACCTCATGTAAGCAACCTGGACGCTGTTTTGTTGTCACCCGTGGTATGCAGCGTGACAAATACAACGGTCGGTTTCGTGAACTATGTACAGATCTTACTGCAACTTCTTACGAAAGACTTAGTAGGATAGGTCACATGCACACACAACATGAATGATGAAGATTTTCTAAGAAGCAGTATCATCCTCTTGACAGGTCTACAAAAATATTTTCAGGAACCCTGAAAAAAGGGAGTGCTGAAGAAAAAGGTGGAGTGAAGCAGAAAATAGGGTCGTCGACGACATTAGCATTGATGGAACACACATTGACACTAGTGAAGATATGCTGAAACTCTGTACCGCCACATAATCGATGGTATTAGACTATTTCAACAAATTTATGTCCTCCGGCACAGGCCCCCTAAGTGCAACTGCGGTCTTAGAAATCCTGTAGGCGACCGAACCCCCATAAATACGGTTGAAAAGGGTGTAGTTGCACTGTTGAAGATACTGAACAACCCATATCTTGTATGTGAATCAGCTAGTAACTGGACTGTGCAATCTACCTCTAACATTGTTCAAACAATCAGCAAAGAGCATGGAAATCCGAAGTGAAATCCAATTGGCAAGCAGAAGGACTCCAACGTCAACGTGCCTGAAAAACTGGGAAAGCCATAATGATTCGAGATTATTCTCTCGTAATCGTGAACACTAAAGATAACTTTGACCTACCTCTCAGTCTTCACGACAAAATGAAAGTATGTTTTAGGAAGGGTTGAACGGAAAGCCTAAACTTCCCAAAATTGATCCACTGACTGTTATGCGACTCACCCGGGAAGTGACTCCAAACATTAAAATCATCCAAGACTCCATCGTTTACCACTCACGAACATTGTCGTATTCGAGGGTGTTCTGTTGTTCAGCCACCTGCTGAAGTCATTAGATATAACAATATTGCCTAATGTACCATATTATGGACTCATTCTCATCAGGAACATCCCTGAGGCATCTCGCGAGACGATCTCTTGTGGGAGAGACTTCATTATGCAAAGTGTCCCAGAAAACACGGACCTTGACTACACAGACTATAATATTCTGGAGTGAAAATTCATAAAGCAGTCCCTGGAGCTCAAGAACATAGTGACTCGACAAGTGATGTGACTGGCCAAAAAGAACAGGAACTTTAGGCCCCGGATAATAAGGATAATCTTCTCATCCTGCCGTATGGCGACTGCCACTTCCAATTTTTTTTGTGCCAACAGACGTCGGTTGACAACTGGACTGCGCATGCATCAGAACAGGCTACATGATGCAGAGATCAAGCACAAAAGCAAATTGGAGCTGACTACTCCACTTGTGGACTGTAAAGATCATGGGAAAAACGTGGAGGGGACAGGGGCTATAAACTTGTAAAACTCAGTGTAGGTAGCTTGTCTGTTTATTCACATAAGGCTCATTTATATAAACAGAACGAGGAAGCTCACACGTCTCAAAATGAAGGCATAAACCCTCTATACATGAACGCCGAGAGTTTACCGGATAAAATGGATGAGTTCAGCGAATTTAGTGACGCTGATAACGCTCATCTGATAGAAATATCTGGGACGTGAATATCTTCTTAAATCCGGATCAGGATCTGGCAACGCGCGGCATATCTTTTCTTCACAACGACTGAAGAATGAGAGTGGACAGAAAAGTAGCCCTGTACCTGCGATCCTGGTAGCACATGAACTGCATACTCATGAGTTCATCAATTTTGATGAGTCTGTATGGTGCCCATTGAGATTGTCTGACATCTCCAGGGGTCTAGTTAGAGTCATCTACAGGAAGCCCACTGCAGACACCAAGCGCGATAATCACATGCTGGATTATCCCACTCTACACGTCTTGGGTACACTTGTGTCCTGATTCTAGGAGACTCCAATCTTCCTGAAGTCAACTTCGCTGAACATGTGTACATTGGAGGTGAAAACTCTACTAAAGCTCGGTTTCTCAGCCTCATTGAAGATCCGAGATTATTCGAAAATATCAAGTCAGCAAATCGTTGGAGAAATGGTCATAATCCGTCGCTCTTGGACTATGTATTTACAAACAGGGATTTCATAATTGAAAATCTCTTACTCTTGACTCCTCTGGGTAAAAGCGATCATGCCATCATAGCAAAACTGAGTTAAAACATCCAATTAACAACGGGCATTGGAATTTTAAACGGGGTGGTGAGTCAACTTCACAAGTCAGTCTACAGTAGGTGAACTGGGAGGTCTGTAGTGGCATCGGGCACCAACCACACAATTCTCAAAGCTGAGCACGAGACAACTGAGAAAATAGATACTCAACACTTGACGCGGTGAAAAACCCAACGATTGGGAAGGCGAGAAGAATGAATTCAAATTCAATGAACTGTATGGCTCGTCCTTGTAGGAGTGATCATTCTTGTGTAACCTATACCTTTTATTCATACTAAGTATATTGCTCTATTTTCAGTCTAAATGTGTTCTTCATCACATGCTGGTGATTGTTACGATACGATGAGTCGGTGTAGACAATGTGAATACCACTTAAGATCTTATAGATCAGGCAGTTACATCATGACAAATCTACAATTTTAGGATCACGTCTATTATTAGAGCAGTACTAATAACGAAGTATACCATCATACTACAGGTCCAACCTCAACTTGATGTGGACATTCATTTAGATTCCTACCGCACCGGATCTTATGTCACACAAATGGTCCCCAAATATCACGAGCAACGTGTGGTCATCAAGATTCCCATTCTCCAACTGCGAAGACCCGAAAGGCAGTACTGGGTGGAATATACATGAGCGACTGACAATAGCACGTATAGGTAGTTCAAAGAATCAAGAAACCGATGCGCAAACACGATAGAAGAAAATAGGCCTTAGTATCATATAAGGCTAATCGACAACTTTGAGATCCAAAAAGCTTATTCCGTCAAGCAGCTTCACTTCAGCAAGCTAAAACCGGAGTTTCCGGGGTTTTATGTCATAATGGTCTAGTCGAAAACGAAGGTAGTGTCTCTGGACCTCTGACAGAGCAATATTTTTAAACGTTTCAACCGTCCTATGCTAACTGTACAGACGAGAGCGTTATCTCCAAGTAAACAGGACTTTGAAAAAAGGGAATCTGACAGCTAAAATGGTGTATCGGATATTTCAGCATCAAAACGAGGGTATTTTACCTGCCTCGAAGTCAAATCATCCGGTAAAATAAAATAAAAATAGAAATCAACAACCGCAATCTATGTAAAAGAGTTGAACACGTTTTCCAAAATGTGGAAAATGCAATGAGAATATTTACAAGTGAGCCAAAATATAAGCAAAGCATGCGACAAAAAGGGATAACAATAGAAGAAGTGATACATAATGAAACGACTGAAATCCCAGAATTTGGTCTGAATTATGAATTGACGAACCGATTTTTGTTCGATTAGGTCAACCTACTTTCTTCTGCACAGGACGCGAAGCGTTTTTGAGCGCTTTGTGTTAAATTATATAAAAACACAAACTCTTTGCTCAATCTAAACGGTCCTAATTTAGGAAAAATTTGTGTCAGAAATACGAGGTTCTAAGTTTAATCAAACATGACATTATTGTCGGCGGTTCTGTAATATGCATTAACAAGAATAATTAATAAATGGTTAATATTTAACCAACGTCATATTATAAAAGCAGAGATGAGGAAGACTGAAGAACCCAAAGTGTGGTTAAAAGGGATTTCAATTAAATTTAAAATAGAAGACAGGAAAAGGAACAGATAAAGAACAGCACTGTCCAATAAAATACTTTGCTGGGATTTTCTGACTATTCGTTCCGTTACATTAGCTTTATGTGAGTTTCCTCGTGATTTACTTATTTCGTGTTCATGGCTGCGACTCAGCGGGGCATATTCTTGAGTTAACATCTTTATTATGTCGAGCTGCTCATCATCGAATAACCAGTGGTTATTTGAGAATTTAGGAATTATTATTGATAACCATAACTTTACTCACTATTATAAATTTTGTTTTAGTAAGGAATTCTCAGTATCTATTGCTTAAATTTACAACAAATTTCCCCATAACATTCACTTTACAAATATCCAAGAATTATGTCCTATGAATGCTTTTCCAATGGTCAGCGACTCTCACACTTCGTTGATTGGGAACGTTTATCACCAGCTCAAATGCTATAACCGTATGTTTTACTACCAGACCACTAACTCATGAATTCCAAAGATTGATTTATCGTCCTTTCCAAAGGCCAGACAAGGAAGAGAAAATACTGGAAACTGTGGTGTCTCAGTCCAAGAACCTCAGTTTTTGTCCTCATAATAAGTTATAACACACGCAATATCACATAGGCACATGCAAATAAAGTAATAGCCTAATCTTTCAAGTAAATCCACAACGAGAATGTTTATTCCAACATTTAAAAAGTTAAAAAGTGGATGGTGCAGACGTTGTGGAAGGAGACTCTATTGCTATGTTGTCGAACACGTGCCTTTCCATAACTGAGTTACAACTTGTCAGGTTGTATCTCTTTGATCTTGCTCACAAATAACGTATCGTTTTTTGTTTTTTTATTGTTTTTATTTCTTAATTGCCATTAGTGACTAAAGTCTTATAGTTTTCTGACCTTCATTGCTTCATCGTATGCTTAAATTTGTTGCCCCTATTTCCCACGATTCTACGCATCTCATTTCTTTTCGGCTCACATGGGATCAC